GGCCACAGGGGGGGAGGCCTGGAATACCTAAAAAAAAAAAAAAAAAAAAAAAAGCCAGCTGATGGGGCTCCAAGAGAGGGTCTCTGGGGTGTGTTCTTGGCTCACCTGCCCATCTTTGAAGGGCCCGTTGGTTTCCGTGCAGCACTACGCCACCCTGTTTGGAGCACAGCTACCCGCCCATCTGTCCTCTCCCAGCCACGTCCAGGAGGTGGGAGCGCTAAATCAGTGCACAAAGTCCTCCTCCACTTTTCTACCGGGAGGGACCCCTGCAATCCCGGGGGAGCTGCTGTGTGTTGCACAAGTGGGGTTTTCATGCCTGTTGCCGACTGGAAGCAGCAGGTCATCGGTGAGAGATAATGACAGCGGACAGCCGGGGAGGAGGGAGCACAGGGGGCACAGCCCCACGGGAGGCCCCCTGTCACCCAGTGCCATCCGCATGGAGGTGATGGCAGTAGGTTCAGTTGTGTGTCTTCAGTGCCCTGAGCATCTCCCTGCTGATGACCTGGAGTCACCAAACAGTGTCCCAAAAGGGGGTGGCTCCTGCCTTAGGTATAAAGAGACAAGACAGTGTATAGAGTAGATTTTTAATACATTCATCTAAAATGGGAACAATGTTTACTTTGGGCTTTATTGCAGTAAACTCAGAGTTTTAAGAAAAGTTGCAGAATACAGATGTGCCTTGGCGATATGTAGTGACTTTGGTTCCAGACTGCTGTAATAAAGTGAATGGCACAGTAGAAGTGAGTCACACAAATTTTTTGGTTTGCCAGCGCATGTAAGTTACGTTTACACTGTACTGTAGTCTATTAAGTGTGTAATAATAGCTTTATGTCTTTAAAAAATGTATATACCTTAATTTAAAAATACTTAATTGCTAAAGAAATGCTCACCATCATCTGAGCCTTCGGTGTGTTGTAATCTTTTTGCAATAACAACATCAAAGATCACTGATCACAGATCACCATAACGAGTATATAATAATAATTAAAAATTTTTAAATACTGCAAGAATTACCAAAACATGACACCGGGGCACAAAGTGAGCAAAGGCAGTATCTGCAAAGTGCAGTTAAATGAGTTATGCCTGTATGTCTACTGGTTTTGGAGAGCAGAGGGCCTAATTTATGTAAGTTTCCCTTTCCACCAGCATTTGGAGCCGTTTGCTTTTTACGTCTGTTTGATGTCTAGATCCAGCCCTTCCAAAATCAGTCCTGTAGCTCTTTAGCGCTTCTCCTCGGGCTCATGCAGTTCAAGGAGTGTGACACTCAGGTGGAGGGGGGGAGTAAGGAGAGAGCTCGGAGCTACTGCGCAGTGGGCTTGGGGTGCATCTCCACCAAGCAGCTCCACCCGCGAGGCAGCCGAGACCCTTTGCTCGTGACGTTCACACTCTTGGTCGGACAGCCTTGATCTCATGGTTTCCGGGCAGCCTGAACCATGACAAGAACGCATCAGACGCTTGCGTTATCTCTGTTTCAGGCATTCCACAGCCATAACAAGCAAGTACTGGCTCCCACGACGTCTTGACCTAACCGAGTTACTGTTTCCTTGTCAGTGTGTGATGGGAATCTGCCCAAACTGAAATGATCAGAAATGCTTAACTGGTGACCTCATGGTGTTGTGAATTGTCAGAGGAAATGTGCTTCCAAACTCTAGGCCACTGTCAAGTCTGTGAGCCTGTTGTCTGTCTCTGGGCAGAACTTCACGCTCTTTACAGGGGCATAAAGGCCCTTCTGTTTCAGCAAGTTTGCCTGTCTTGTAAGCAAAGACTTCCCAGCCCCAGCCCCTTGGGGTCACCTTGCAGTTCCCTTCGTGGTACTTACCACTGATAAATTCAATTGTTGGTGTTGCTTATTTGATGAAAGCTTGTCGTCCCCAAATTGTGGGCTTCAGGAGGGCAGAACTTTCCAGGTCTCTTGTGCTCATCTCTGTGTGTGGTCACTGTGTCTGTCTCACGTTGTCCCCTAGAACTTTCCGTGGTGATGGAAATGCTTGCTTTCTGTG